TTTAAAAAATATTATAGCTTACTATTGTTGTGTGGTGATGTGGCTTCCTTGTCTACCACAACCATTTGTTTTCTTGAATATCTTGACTTCTGCTTGTGGCAAGCACTGAATGTCCCTTGTCCTAGATGACTGAACTGAGGAGGGTTGGGTGAACCATGCAATAAGATTCTCAATTAATTGCCCTAACCAGTTCCTCAGTCCTGTGATCTTCAGGCTAAAGGGTCTCTCTGGGACTCTTCAGGGACGGCAGCATCCTGCACAGCTATAGCCTTATCTTGGGAGATTGTCAGAGGTTACAGCTTCCTCTATTCTTGAGTGATAACTCAAGATATGGATACATCAACTGAAATCCATATACTTGCCTCCTTTCAGAAAGTCATCAATGTTTGCTTGGTGGTTCCATTCTACCTGTTCACCATTCAGTTTTAGCTTGATCTCAATTCTATTTCTTTGCTGTCATTTCAGTGGAATTTGAAAGTGACAGGTTGGTAGATGCAGGGACTCAGTCAAGCACTTCAAGCTGGAACTCTTATAGCTTTTACAACAGAATGAATTGCTAATACATGTTTCTTGTCTCATTAGATTGTCAGAATGAATGACTCACTTTATGGGGTTATAACAGTTTTCCCAGAAAACCTCAAACAGGCAGGAATATTTGTTCTCAAACTATTACGGTTATTTTTAAATTGTTAAGCCTATAGTTTTCTTCTTTTTGCATTCACTTTTTCCTTATTGTTTGTCTCATAGGGCTATCCTTTAATAATCTTTTCTCAGGGGAGGAGCAAAGATGGCAGATAGATAACAACTGGCTACAGAAGTTCCCTAAGATAGCCAACTTAGAATTCAACATAATACAGAGTGGGGAACCCCAAACAGAGGGAGGTGAATTCTCTCATCCCAAGAAGAAATTAAGGCGACTTGCTGACCATCTGAGGTCTCGCCATGACTGGCCGAGGTCCTACTCCGACTTGCCGAGATCCCGCCATGACTTGTTGGAGTCCCGCCTCGAATTGCTGAGGTCCTACCGCAACTTGCTGAGCAGTCTGAGGTCCCACTGTGACTTGCTGAGCCATCCCCGAGGTCCTGCCCCTTCGACTCACTGGAGGCACAGTTACATTGAGTTCGGGGGTCAGCGAGTCGAACAGAGGGCTGAGTTGGCAGGGTGCCTACATCGACCTGTGGTGAGTTACAGGTATGGAGCCATTCCATAAATAGGGGGGCTTCAGCAGACAACAATCTGGGACCAGGCAGGACTGGCAAGTGCAAGGGGCAGCAGTGACTTCAGTCAGTTGTTCCCTTCCCAAATGGGATTGGTGGAGTGAGCTAGACCTGGGTCATGTGACCCAGCTGAGACCAATAGGTTATCCAAGGTCAAGTCCCTGCAGCCTGGCGCACATTAACCACACTGGCCCAGTGGGACCTCAGAGGTTTGGCTGGTCGGGAGGGGGGCCACGCATAGTAATACAGTAGTGCAGGCCACAGCAGCTTGACTGATCTGGAAGGGAGGGGCCAGCATATGCTGTCCCTGTCTGCAACTCATTACCATACAACAGTGTGAAGGGTCATCTAGCCAGCATGCTTCAGAAGAATTGTAACCAACAAAGAAAGAATCTGGGGCCTCCTGGAAGAAGCAAAAAAGATGGGAAGAGGAAGCAACAACAAAAAGTCCCCAGGCCCCAACCCTGAGAACATTGATCCAGGACAGGTAAATACAAAGGAGAGTGAGGACAGCCAACATACAATATCAGACAGCACCAGTGGACATAAAAAGATATATTCGGGACCTCATAGGCGAGTTCAAAAGTGAAGTATTTAGCCAAATAAAGCAAGATATAAGAAGATTAATAAAAAAGATACTAAGCACCCCTCAAGCAGACACAGATGGAAGAAGGAAGGAACTTAAACACAGGAGAGAACCATTTGGTGAAGAATATAAAAAAAAATAGAATACATGAAGCAGATTAAAGAGATCACCAGGAAATTTAAAACTCTGTGGAAAGATGGCAAATCAGCCTGAAAGAAACTAAGGATAGATTATCCAAACTGGAGGACAATTTTGCAATGTGGGAGTATGAAAAGGAAAACTTTTAAAAAATAACAAGGAAACAAGCAGTAACAATACAAAGGCTAAAGATGACAAGAGGATCTACAACTTGAGAATAAAGACTGTGAATGAAGAAACTGGGGTACAAACAAAGGAACTACAAAGGTTATTCACAGAAATAATTAAGGAAAACTTCCCAAACATAGGAAAAGGAAACAATATTCTGATATATGAAGCATACAGAACTCCAGCTACCTACAACCAAAACAGAGCTACACCGGGCATATAATAATCAAGATCCCAGAAATTCAATATAAGAACAGAATATTAAAAGCTGTTAGAGACAAGAAACAGATCACCTACAGAGGAAGGCCCATCAGAGTCACGGCAGACTTCTCAACACAAACCATCAAGTCAAGAAGAGCCTGGAGGGAAATATTCCAAGCCCTGAAAGAAAATAACCTCCAGCCCAGATTGATATACCCTGCTAAACTGTCTCTAGAAATTAATGGAGAAACAAGAGGCTTCCAAGACAAAGAGGAACTTGGGAAATTTACAACCACCAATCAAACTCTACAGAGAATACTCCAGGGCATTCTAGAGAGAAAAGTACTAGGATTCCAGGAACAGTGGCAGAGAGGCCTCAATGAATGGAGCAGAAAACAGAATGAAGAAGTTAAACAGACAACTGATGGCAAAAAAAAGAGCATAACAGAAATGAGGCAGAGAAGATTTTATTCAAAACTGATATGATTGATAGTATCAAGTCTGAGAGTATAGGCAACTACATTGAAGATGACAAAACTCTACAATACACATTCTGGTTTGATAACTGCTGGTTTTTGAAGTTTTGTACTATATACAAAGTTGTGTTTTTATTAATACTGTTATGTACTGACATATTCAATTATACTATGTCTGATGATATAGCCAATTCTATTGGAGATAATAACACAGGAACCATGGTAGAATGATTTGTACAATGGTCTTATATGTTTATTTTGTTTTATGTGTTTATAGAAATATGTTTTGTTTTGCCTTTGTTTTGTTTCTCCCTTTAATATAGAAAGGATAGAAATACATGTTAAGATTCATGTATGTGTAGAATCTATAAACAGTTTATGAGAACTGATCATATGACACATGATGAAATGAACAGATACTTTGAAGAAAAAGAGAGACTAAAATACCCAGTGAAATAATGTGAAACCCAGCAATAGTATTATTCTTTGTTCAGAGTGATAATAGCCTGCTTGGGTTTATTCAATCTCAACATAATTGAAAAGATGGATAACTGCATGTATGTTTAAGTGTATAGGATTGATAACCATATTTCTAAGTTTTTGTTGGATCGTTGAACAGAACTGGTTGCAATTGTACTGTTTGAATCCTCTCTTTATAAGCTCCACTTTAGTATCTTGAATAACTATTTGTAAGAAGACAATCTGTAATCATCAACTAGTGATTTCTGTTAATTTTTTTCTTTGAAATTATGTATTGTTTCTACCCGTTTTCTGTTTTGTTTAGTCTTTCTTTAAATTAAAAAAAAAAAAAAAGACACTACAGTACCCAGTGCTGATCATGAAGTGTGAAACCCAGCAATACTATTGTCCTTTGTTCAGAATGATTTTAACCTGCTTTAGTTTGTTTAATCTAAACATAAGTGAAGCTATGCATAACTGCATGTTTAAGTGTATAGGATTGACAACCATGTTACTAAGTTTTTGCTGGACAGTTGAATAGAACTGTTAGCAGTCTTGCTGTTTGAATTCCTACTTTACACACTCCATTTTTGTATCTTGAACAACTATTTGTAAAATGACAGTATGTAAATAACTAGTGATTTTTTACTCTTTATTTTTTTCTCTGAATGTATGTATTATTTCTACCTATTTTCTGTTTTGTTTAGTCTTTCTTTAAATAAAATTAAAAAAAATCTTTTCTCTTCTAACTGGCCACTTCTGTTACACAGTAGACACAATAGATTACCCAGATTGCAAAGTAAACTTTGAGAGTATGTATTCAAGACCTACTCCTTTGAGCAACATGCATGAGCTTTAGGAGATGAGTTTTGTGACGTCTAAGAGCAAACCCATAGGTGTTTATCCTTACTAATTTGAATCTCTCTTCAGTTAATTAAAAGATGCCAGTTAAAGTGAACCCTGAACTGGACTTACACATTTATTATCTTCAGTAGAACACTATTTAAATCCTAGGATGAGTACTAAACATTTACCTCATATATTGTGTTATGGTTTGTGTCTGGGTATCCCCCCAGAGCCTCATGCAGTCATGGAAGTGGCTGAGTCTAGCATTTGCATCTAGTGCTGGGATTGGCAGTCTGAGTGCTGCACCTGCCCAGGGGTGAGTAGCTGGCATACACTATAAGGGAAGGAAGCATGATTTTCCCTTTTTGACCTTTTGCTCTTATCATTTGTGGTCACCATGAAATGCTGCCCCTCAGTTGTGCCACCCTGCATTAGAGCCAGCTGAGTGGACAGAAACCTCCAAAAACTGTAAGCTAAATAAACCTTTCCTTCTTTCATTTTGGGCATAGAGTATTTTGTCTCAGTAATGAGAGAAAAGTAACCACACATATTGCTTTACTTTTTTCCTTAGGCATCATTATCAAAGAACCATAACTGAATTCACCAGGAGTAAGTTTTTTTTCACAGAAAGATTATTTGTAGTTGGCACAATTTTATACTTATGAATTGATAGTCAACAATTTATCAATATGAATTCATTAGCGAATGTGCCAATTGTTTTCCCCCTTAAGCCTTTTTATTTTGTGTGTGTGTGTGTGTGTGTGTGTGCCAGGGATCAAACTCACAACCTTGCTCTTGCCAGGCAGGCACTTATGCCCCTGAACTAAATCTCTGCCCCCCACTTAAGTCTTAACATACATAATTCCCAAAAGAAACTAACAAATTACAAAAAAAAAGGACTCAGCACAATGATTTCATATGAAGAAAATTTATTTCATGTTGTGAATGTAAATTTTAGTAGCAATTCTGTCGAACTCATTTTTCTTGGACTGTTTCCAAGATATTAGTTTAGCCACTCAAGATAAAATACATTATCTATTGATGTTTCAAAATGTCACAAGAGAAACATATACCAAAAGTTAAAACATGTTTGGATTCATTAAGTACAAGTGAACTGCTAGAAAAGCCATGATTTTAGATGTTTGTACTACCTCTATGGAGTTGCACAAGTGTCAGTAGTTATCAAGAATGGTTATGGTTGTGAAGATACTCCAGGTGAGTGAGGTGGGGACCATCTCTGAGAGCCCACTAATCCTGTTCCACACGTTTCAACTGGAAAACCCCATTTGTTTCATGCTGTGGTTTATAGACAATGAGAAGCAAATGTCATCTCTGCTCAGAGACTGTTCTAGCAAAAAATTAAAGGGCTACCATGGAAAGTAACTTGGAGAGTATATCCATAGATAAAGTTCCTGACTGTTTTAAGTAGAAAAGTGAAGAATAAAAATTTTATGTCCAGTGAGCACCTTAGCTATAAGGAGCCGGCAGTATCAGCAGAGAAGTTATTGTTCTTGTTAGTTTCTATGTGAGATTTTAGACTGAAAATGACAAACAATCCTTGAAGACAGATGACTTTTAAGGTTTTCAAGTGGCTCTGCATACTGTAGTAACTCCAAATAACCAACATTTGCAAAACACTTTTTATCCTACTATATAAAGAACAACTTATGTTTAACCCCATGATTCTAGCAGTAGATGAATGATTTGTAACCGATCCACTCAACAGAATTTTGGTTCAGACAGCATGACCAAAAATGAAATACAGAAAAAATTTCCTGGGTCATATGTTTAGGGTCCAAAAAGAGGGAGAAAGCAGCTCTACAATACAGAAAAAAAATCAATTAGTGGTCTTCTTTGTCTTTGTCACAGAAATATATGTTTTGAGTTAAAGAGATATACAGAGATTATAAAACCCAGCTCCTTTATTTTTGGAATTTTGGGGCCCAATGACTTATTCCAAGTCCTGTAACTAACTGGCATCTAACTCATTGTATCAGTCAACAGATAATTAAGTGTTCTCTGCTCTTAATTCCTATTTAGAAATGTTTTTCTATTTAGACATAATTTATGGAGTTCATATCTTTTATGCTATTGTCTAGCCAAGAAGACACTGCTAGGCCAGATAAGGTGAAACCTTACCAGTTTCTCCTGGCAACACATAACAGCTGGATCACATCAGGTAGATCCCAGTGAAGAGATGATTAGTAATTTAGAGTCCAAAAAAACAATTTAACACTAAAACTGCTTCCTCCTCCATGCGTCCCCGTAGCTGCTGCATGGCATCTATTCATGTTAAGCTTTTCACTCTCAAGACTCTAACACTCTCTTTGGTCATTTCGGGGAATATGAAGTTGGGTGGAGTCAATGCAAGGCTGATTTTATATTGTGATCACAAACTCAATTAATAGCAGTGACCAGTTACTGAGTCTTTAGTATGAAATTCTATATAAAAGCATGAAGATCAGTGTTAACATGACCCAGTAGATATGTGCTGAACATGTCACACAGGGCCATCTCTGAACTTAGCATCAGACAAGTCCTGTGGAGAGTGCAGATTGTTTTGACATCACCCAGGATTCAGATACGCTGGTAGATTCTCTTCCTTCTTGTAGGCAGTTATTAGTTTAATGTTAGTTACTCTCTACAGATGAACTCTGGCCTCATGAAGCATCACCTGCACAAGAATTAGGTCAGCTGTGTGTGTGTCACGGGCTTGGACACATTCAATAAAACCAGCCTTGTGTAAAGTTCCTCTACCATTGTGAATAGCTTGGGTTAAATTTACAAAACTGTTTGCTTATACTGTTCTGACATTTGACTCTGCTTATGTTGAGTTAGGTGGGAGTTTTCAAGCAGTTCATAGGCATCTTGCATGTTGGGGAGACTCTGCTTCCTGCCCTGGGTAGCCTTTTGGTTCTGAATATCAATACTGTTCTTTGAACAAACTCTCTGCCCCTTGTAAACCTGAGCCTGACGTTTACAGACTCCAAACTTGCTGAGTAGGATGAACACATCCCTTTGGAAATCCTTGGTGAAAATAGCATAGAGGAATGGGTTGGCACAGGAGTTAAGAGGATAGAAGAGTACTAGCAAAATTTTAGAGTTGGTGACAGTGATGAGAGGCTTGTTCATAAGCGCTGACAGAGCATAGAATGAGATGGGAGCCATGCACATGAAGTCGGTGAAGATCAGCACTGCCATCCTCTTAGCAATTTTGGTGTCTTTGTCCCCAGGGTTGTACTGGGGGTTTCTGACTGTGATATAGATCTTCACATAACAGGAGCAGACAATGATGAAGGCGACAATGTTGAGTGACAAAACAAGCACAATGTATGCCAGAGCAAGAGGGGTCTCTGTGTCCATGGGCAGGCAGATGCTGACCTTGGCATAGCTGCTTATTCCCACCAATGGGAGCAGGGCAAGAAGGAAGCAGAAAACCCAGCCTCCAACCATGATGGCATATGCATGCCTGAGATGGAGCTTCCGGTCCAGGCGCATGGCAAAGGTGATGGCGTACCAGCGCTCCAGGGTGATGACTGTCAGTGTGTACACTGACAACTCGCTGGCAAAAACAGTGAAGAAACCAGCTGTGTTGCAGCCAGCGCCAGTCTGCCAGTCAATAGCATGGTTATAGTACTCTGAGCGAGTGTAGAGGTCCACGGAAGCGATGAGGAGCAGGTAGATCCCCATGCACAAATCTGCAAAGGCCAAATTGCACATGAGGAAGCGTGGGACGGTCAGTTTGTAGTGGCTGGTGAGGAGGATAAACAGGACAAAGACATTTCCCAGGAGAGCCAGCAGGCTCACAAACCACACCACAATTCTCAGGAACCTGTAGCCCATTATGTCTTCACAGGGGTTGAACTCATCGGACTTGGGGGTGCACACCATGTCTTCATTGTCCCCACACACAGTGTAGTCGTAATGACTGTCAAAGGCCTGGAGAGTCTCTTCTTGGGGATTTTTGAGCTCCTCGCCAAAGCCAATGATCTCATCCTCTTGTTCTTCAAAGAAGACATAATAATGAGAGCTACTGGGGTTGTCCTGGAGCTGGGAGTTTTTCATGTACCCAACATTGCTATTGCTAAGATCTTCATAATCTTGGTAAGTGGGACCATTCAAGGCATTCACAGATTTTATCTGACGTAGGCTTCGGATACTGCTTTCATTACACATCAAGGACTCAAGGATTCTGCAAGGCAATGGAAATGAGTTACTGCTTGCTTAAAATCTGTAACATACAGAAAAATATGCAAATTACTTTCTCTGATGATACGACTCTTCAACACTCCACATGAGTTGGTTGGGCCTGTCTCACCCACATCACTGCTTAATTACCTCCTCTCACCTACTGAATTCCAGTGACACCAAGCTTATTTCTTATCAAGAATAGCAGTGAAACCACAAATATCAGTGATAAGAAAGCATGGAGGCTGGAGCCACACGACTTGGGTTAGCATGTGGCCAATTAGTTATTAGCTGTTTTACCTTGGCAGGTCTCTGTGCCTTGATTTATTCATTTATAAAATGGATAATATAGGGCTACAGCTGCAGGAGTGCTATTTGTTTGCTATTATTATTATTATTATTGAGAGCTCTAGAATTCCACATTCCTTTGCCTAGAAACACATGGCTGCATGTACTCATTACTCAGTTTTAAACTCAAATGTCTCTTTCTCAGAAGAGTCTTCCATGAGCTCCTCAACTAGATTGTCTAACCCTTGTGTTTATTTCCTCCAAAGCACTATTTGATATTTTCCTAAGTTTCCTTTTCATTTTCTAGTTTACTTCATTAGACTGTAGATAAAATGCAAGAGGGGCTCTTGTCTGTCCTGCTCACTACTCTGGATAGGACAGTGCCAGGCAGAGAGCAGATGACAAATAAATGTTTGTTGAACAAATGAATAAGTGGGCCCTCCCATGCAGATATGCTCATAAAAAAGATTCTGTTTTTCTGCAGATCACCAGACTTACCATAAAAGAAATGGTTTAACTTGATTCAGCTGCCAAGCAGATATGAATTGATCTAAACTGTTTGAAATGCCCAGTGGGCTAGCTGTTCTAACCTGTTCAGGGTTCGATGCACAGCTTGGTCCCTCCCCTGAGGTCCATCCACATTAGCCTCCTACTCATCCCTGATCCTTTCCTAGTCAGTGCCATATGGCACCAATATAGACTCTGCTGTCACCATCCCTGTGTTCTCCTCCTGGTTTCCTGCAGTTTTATGCCCATATTGGCTTTTTTTTGCATAGTGGTTGAGCTTTTTGTTTGCTTCTGCCTCCACAACTGGGTCTCCACTCTTTTCTGATGATAAATATGAGTATAGAAAGTCGATCAGCAGATACTTATACAGAAGCTAAGATGGACTGAACTAAAAATAAAGGTACCAAGGAATGGTACAAGTCATACAGAGGGAAATGTACAGGTAAAAGTGTGGCTGAAAGGAAGAGTGACAGCAATTATGTAGAGAAAAAGGGCCATCCCTCCTTTGAAACATTATTACCAGTCAGATATTAAAATAGTGTATATTACAATCAATGTTTATTGAGAACTTATGCTATCTAGGCCATCCCTTTCCAGATAGTGTCTGTTCAGCTTCTCCTTTTATTTTCTCAAAACCCCTATAATGATGAGCTTACGATCTTTTTAGCTCAGGGTAGTTATATAACAACTAGAAACTGGTAGGACTAGGGTGCAAACCAAGATTATTGCAAAGCCTGTCCCATGTAGCCAGCGAGCTGTGACATTTGCAAGGTACAAGCTGATCAGGTAGCCCACTTGCTTGTTTTTGTAAGATTGTCCTTCCTGTTTGGAATCTAATACGTGTTGCTTCTGGAAATGAGAAATAGAAATCACTTCTGGATAACCTCCATAAAGCTCTACATGACCTGGTCATGACTTTCCCTATCATATCACCCCTTATGAGCTCCCATTCCCCTGCTATCCAGAAATGTTGGCCTATTTTCTTATCTGCAACTACTTTTCAGTCACAGTCATTGAGTCTCAGGGATTTCTGGTTCTTACCAATGCTCCTAACGCTTTGCTACCTGACTCTCAAATCACAGACATTCTTCTCCAAACCTAGAAATTAATTTAACTTCTGCTATGGGCTTTAGTTAGTTATTCTAGGACCCTGAACACTTACCCTCTGATTTTCTTCTGGTTCTTAAAAGCACAGCAGTGGCTTGAATAAGAAAGATCAGCCCGGATGAGGTGCAGGAACCTCAAGGAAAGGGGAAGTTTCTTGAGAGTCCACGTGTTTCTTGCTACCAGCTCCTTCAGGTGCTCCAGGCCTTTGGCCGGCAGGGCAGTAACACTGGTGTAAGACACATCCCTGGGATGCAAGAGAACAGAACAGCACACAGAGGCAGTGAGCAGCCAGCGCCTTGCAGTCTTTGGGCAGAAAATAAACACACCTGAGATTACTGGGTAACTGATAGGCTCCTTCCTGCTACTGAATCTGCAATCTGAATTCCTAGTCTAAGGAGGGATATTAGGCATCTAAGTCAATAGTAGTTATAAAGCATTTCTCTTTATATTGCTTGAAATTTGAGTATTCACCAGCCACATTCTATCTCTACAGACATTTCATTTCATTCATCAGAATACTTTCAACTCTTGGAGTCAGAGGTGATTGTCAAGTTCACTCTGCAAAATGACACTGTCCACCTATTCAAGGGTCCTAAGAGGCAAGTGAAATAATACTGAACAGGCACAAGTGGTGTTACTGGGACTGAGGAACAGGGTTTTGGGACTGATGAACAACTCACTGAATGGATCAACACCAGCGGTACATGAAAACAATCTAAACATGCAGAATTTGAAAGTTCTAATCAGTCACATTGTGAGTTCATGGCTAAGAAAAACTTTTCCCCTCTGCCCCTGCATGCAATTTATTTAGAGTACTGTAAATGTATTCCTATAGAGAAGATTCAAGAATTTATAAATGAGATTCGAGCCATTTCTTCATACTATGAAATGCAAGAGTGATGGGACTAGGAATCAGTATTACATATTAATTACTAGAGTACAATTAATTCATAGCCTTTATTTTGACATTCATTGTTCTTGTCCCAATCCCAGAGAGTCCAGGTTTATGTCTTGTGCCATGAATTTTACTTGTACTGAATAACAGTTTGCATCAGACTGTGAATAATTAATCTAATATCTTACTATGTATTTTATCAATTAAATTCATTAAGTAGCATTTACATTTTAAAATATCCAATATAATTAGTAATTCTGGGTAAAATGAATTCTAAAATTTTCAGCTTCTTCTTAACACAGCATTACAATTGGAATTGGCTGGGATTTATGTTCTCAAGGTCCAAGGTGGCCGAAGTTTGCTTTTGGTTTTTGTTTATTTCCTTGTTTATTTTTACAGACACAAAGCTCGTATATTAACCTCATTCTCACCACAGAAGCATGACTCTAAGGGGGCAGGGTGTGAAATTTGTTAAGTGTATTGTACTCGATTTAAAATTCTGTAGCTCAGTATTTTCCAAGCTTTCCTGGCGGTAAGAAATACCTTTTGCATTTGTTGCTATGTGATCTCCAGGTAAATCTAACCAGGAAAACTGATACAGATGAGTGACTTGGATTTCTGAGAGATTGGAGAGATACAGAGTCAAGCTTCAGTGCAGCTGAGAAGTGGGTGAAGCCAGACTTTGCCTTGCTGCCTCGCCTGTTCTTTGGATGGTTCTCTTTCTCTTTTAGCTGTGCTGTTTTCAAGGTGCAGTGTCTTTCCAGAAACCTGGAAGCAACTTAAGTTTCTCTTTACTCCACAGTGCTTTCATGTCAAAGCCTCTCTTAGCTCATTTTCCCTGCTCTGCTAGTTGCTAAATGCAGCAGTTGTGTGTATTCACTGGAAGGAGTTTATTCTTTTAAGGGGAGTGTCTGTGTTTTAACATTTCTTGAGCAAACACTTTAATGACCATGCTAATTACTGTATTATAATCCCAAGCCAAGTGACTTAAAACAATTTTTTTATTATTAGTATAGCTTTTATGGAGCAGAGATGTGAATAGGGCTTAGATCAGAGATGACTGTCTCTGCTCTGTGATGTCTAGGCTCAGTGGAGAAGACCTGAAGGCTGAGGTGATCTGATAACCGGTAGCTGGGGGTAGCTGCAGGGCCCTTCACTAGCTTCTCTAAAGAATAGACTTAAACCCTGAGTTTAAATGGGGTTATTGATACGACCATTACATGAGACTTGCATTTCTAACAGTATAGCAGCCAGATTTTGAAAGAATTAGCAAATACAAGGCAAGGGACATGAAACCTGACTCCTAACGGGATGTGTGTCAAAGACTTATATGTGCCTTACTTTAAAACCATCATAGTGATCTAAATGATAGAGATTCCACTGAGGCAGATACTTGGAGCAGAGGGACTATTGGCTCATCACTGAAAATCAGCATTATTGGTTGAGGCACTGCCCTGGAACACATCAGAATCACCTGCAAAACAGACTGAGCCAAACCTCAGGCCAATGTCTGCAGATGGTTCAGAAGCTTCAGTAAGAGGGACTGAATCTGGCGGAGTACTGAGCTGCACTCCCAGTCCTTTTCCAAAATTTTGAGAAGGAGCTTGTTAGATTTCCCAGGTTGGTCCTGAACTTGTGATCCTCTTGCCTTGAGCGGAGGCCTCCCAAGTAGATGGGAGTCTAGGCCTGTGCCATCACACCTGGCGTAGAGAATGATTATGAAGCAGGTAGACACTGAAATTTAGACAAAGAAACAAGGGTGTTTTGGGCCAAAGAGGTTTAGGAAACTAAGGGTGGAGTTGGAACAGAAGCTGGGGGATGGATTTCTCAGCTTCAGCGTCCGCAGTGGGTATCTTCAGGTGGCCTCTGGCTCTGTCTTTGTCTTGTTGATGTGCAGGAGGGTTTGGCCAAGCATGGAGATAACTGGCATTGGGGAAAGTGTATAAGCCTTGTGACAGAATCATCAACAGCATGATGAGTGCTTGGCTTTTCATGGGTGCTCAGAAAATATTCACTGTCTCTCTGCTCTAATTCGGAGTTTATTTGTACTCAAGACAAAAGCATAGGACCCATCAAATATTGCGCCAGCCCAGATTTTAACTTGTGTATGCAACTGACTATTTGACATTTCCACCCGGAGGCCTCACAGGAATCTCCAAATTAGGGGTTCTCTCCAAAACTTAGCTTGTGACTCCCTCCTCCCACCCTCACCACCACCTCCTCCTTTTCCTCCATCATAGTAATCAGCACTCTGAGAGATATGTGTGACATCTCAAGATTCCTCACCATCATCACCCAATCAACATTAAATCTATCAAAAGTCCAGTGGATTTGAACTCCAAAATGATTACAAATCTACGTACAGTCAGCCCTCTGAATCTGCAGGTTCCAAAGCCATGAATTCATCCACTACATATCAAAACTATCAAAACAGAAATGGCACTTGTGCTAAAATGCAGGCCTGCTTAGTGTCACCATTCCCTAAGCAAAAGTAGAAGGTATTTGCATGACATTTATATTGTATTAGATATTATAAGCAATCTAGAGATGATTTAAAGTATACATGAGGATGTGTGTAGTTTATATGTAAATATTGTGCCATTTTATAAAAAGACTTGAGCGTTCCCAAAGTTTGGTACCTTCACAGGGTCATAGAAACAACAGAAACCAACAAGAACTGCATTTGCATCACTAACAAAAGCTTTCTATTTGTAGCCACAGCTTTTTTGTTCACTTTTACTCCCTCCCAATCCATCCTCCACAGAATAACCAGAGCAGTCATAACACAGGAAATGAGTAGGAGCATGTTTTGCTTAAAACCTTGCAGTAACTTCTTGATGTACTACAAGTAATGTCCATTCTTTATGTCAGGTCCCTCTCAGTGCTGGAGACCTGGCCCTTGACTACCTCTCCAACCTCATTTTGGGTAACTGAGGCCACTTGATGCTCTGAAGCACTCATTAGGGCTGCTGCTCTGAAGTATCCAGTGGGCGAGCTGCTGGTGGGTACTCCTATGGAGCTGGTCACTTCTCCTGCAGCTCACCCAAGGGTCAAGTGGAGAGGAACTATTATTTTTTTGTTTTTAAACACAAACTGGGTGTTCTCAGAAAGCAAGGTATTTGCTCTGTTTACTTCCCAATGATGTAGTACGGCCTCTTCTCTCAAAATTTCCCAAGTGCAGTAAATTTTCTTTCCGAGCCTACCAGTAGTTTTTTGTTTTGTTTTTAAATTCTCTGCTATTTTCTTACCATTTTCCCAGGACTTAAAGCTTTAATGCCCTCAGGGAATCTCTCTTGCCTTTACTCTTCCTTTGTGTCCTAAATATTTACAGTAAAATACCACTGTGTTCCCCTCACCCATCAGATGCCATCAAATGTCAACTATTTATGTGTCTACAGCCTCACGGTTTTCATTAGTATCCCCTTAGTTTAGGTCTCAATTACATTTCTCTTAGCTTTGTAAAAGCTTCCTGATGGTCTCCCAAAAATCTTTTACAAATCCCAATTTCAGACTTAGAATGTTTCTTCTAAAATGTGATCTCATTGTATGTTTGCAATCCGTGGCTGTCCCAGAGTCTACAAAATGAAGTTCAAGCTCCTTAGAAGAGTATCCCTCTTTCCCTATGGGTGTCTCTCCCTGAATTCTGTCATCTGATTTCTTGATTGTTTCTTTCATTTCAGTTGGAGCACATTTTCAAATAACATCTTAGGTAACACAAAAAGACATCTTCCATGTTCCTACATGTCCTACTCTCCCATTCAATTGATGTTTACCTGGTTAATATTTTTTTCTCCAGGATCCTAAATGTTTTACCCTATTTGCTTGTAGCAACTAGCACTGTTTTTGGTATGCCATTCATGTGCTTGTTCTTTGGTTGCTGAGTTGTTTTATGACTCTGGAAAAATTATTTTATTTGGGCTGGGATTGAATCCAGCATCTCTCACATTCCAAGCATATGCGGGTTTTTGTTTTGTTTTCTACCAGGGATCAAACTCACAACCTCCTGGTTGCCAGGCAGGCACTTGTGCTATTGAGCTAAATCCTCAGCCCTAAGCATGAGCTCTACAGCTCTACAACTGATTTATATTTCAGCTCTCTGGAAGTTTACATGACTTTTTCTTTATCCTCGGTATAAAATTTCATACAGATGAGCCTTCATATGGCTCTTTTTACATTTACTGAGCTGGGCAAAGGATGTTGAAATAATCTTTCAGTCTAGAGATCTGTGCTCTTTGGTTCTTGAGAATTTTCTTGTATTGCTCCTGGGGAAACTCACTCTTCTCATTTTCTGGAATTCCTAGTAAGTGGACAAGGGACCTGCTGGACTCTTCAGACATAGCTCCATCTTT